GGAGAAGAAAAATTTGTAGCTATTGGAATTTCACAAGCCTATAGTTGTCATGTAGAGAAATTCAAGAATTGCTGGTACAAGTTAAGAGAGTTCACTACCGACTGCTGATGTCTCAGTCTGCCTTCTTATCTCTTGTATACAAACTACCTTCATTTTCTGCCATCTAATGGGAAGACCATGCAACCTTTGACAATTTGGCTGTAGCTTTGATAAAAAAAATCTGAAGTAGTATTTATCTGAACAGATTTGCCCGTATCACAAAAAAGAAGAAAAATACCCAACTTAGAGCTCTTCAAATATCTAGATGGAATACAACTGTTATTTTTCACTGCATTCCACATCTCCTGGGTAGTGTCCAGGGACTCCAGATAAGACTGTTTTGTCATAGTGAAGTAATTCTGTGAGTTTTTGCAAAGTATCAGTGTCACAGCTGCTAGCAACCGTTGTTACTATATTGGTAAATGAGGGATGTTTCCAAAACCAACTGGACTTTGCCATGTTTGCCTACATGTTGATGTCACTGCTTTTTTATATTAACACAATGTCTACAAGTTCCAGTGGTAGGCGTCTCCGTCTAACTGCAGTACAGTGAAGAACTGCATTCTTAAGTCAGTGAACTATAAATGCAGCAGGGCATCCAGGGCTACTCTGCTTGGATAAACAGACTGACAACAGATGAATTATCTTGTTAATCAAATATATTTGAATCATAGAATCATAGAATTGCTCAGGTTGGAAAAGATCCTCAAGACCATCAAGTCCAACCTCAACCTAACCATACTACCCTGACATTGCCCAGACTGATGGGCTTTAAAAGTCATAATTTCTCTCTTGAAAAAGAATGATCTTTGTCTTTATAAAGTGTTTTTTTAGTATATAGAAGGAAAGGAAAAGGGTCTAGGCTGGATTTTCCACAGTTGGTAGTGACACAGACTTGCTGAGGGGGAATACAGGATAAAAACCACTGTGGCATCGCGCTCTGTCATTGGGTCAGAAATTAGTATCACTGTGTGTTTTTAGTCCCTGTCTTTAGTTGAGCTCCAGCAGGTGGCATCAGTCTGAATAATCAATGTCAGCTATTTTTTTCTTTTACCTGCTTTTCCATTCCGTGTAATTATACACATAATACAAGATCATTTACAGTGTGAATTATTAGCCCTTTACTGACAATTTGTCTTTCACATGCTATTCTTTTCGCAGTAGCTTATACCCTTCTACGCTGCACTAGATTGCTCCTAGAAATGGCAATTAAGTTGAACATGTGAGGCCCAAATCTTCTAAATGAAGCTGGAATGTAGGATGGATGCTGGATCTGGTGTAGGAGGAGACGATTTGGCTGGCTGCATCCCCAGGCTGCTGTCCAGGGAGAATTCAGACACTAAATGTCAGAAGAGCACTCCTACCTGAGCTGCACCTCGAGCAGTTTTGCTTTACTTCCCTCACAGCTCAATTTAGTATCACGTCTATCCAGTTTCATGGCTTGAGAGAGCTGAAAGTTGAATAACAAATCTTGAGGTATTCTGTTTCTGTGGAGGTTGGAAAAGAGTAAGGGATGTTCTGTAATAGAAGCAGATTCCTCTAGCAAGAAAAATGAAGAGTATTTTAGTAAGGCAATAAAACAGGTGGATATCAATTCATATGAACTCATTGCCTGCATGACAGAGATCCTAGCTATGCTCATTCTTTTATGAAATCAAGTAGATAAAAAGAACCCTACTTTTCCTATGAATTATTGATGCCTTCTGAATTACCTTTGCACTCTGCTATAACTAAGAAATATAACTATGGGAATGGAGGATGAAAATGCTTCAGGAAAAAAATTCTGGAAAAGAATGTTGCTGTAAAAGAAGACTATTTTCAAAATGAAATGAGACCATCTAAAACACTTCCAGTTGCCCTGTATTTCTGTGGCCTATGAATTGTAACTCAGGTGTAAATCTGTCTCTGCTTGGAGCCATTGGGAGAACACAGCTGCTTGGCTGGATCCTTTGGAAGTCTGGTCACTACCACACATTGTGCTTAATGACTTACTGATACTGTTTTTCTTGAATTATAAAGAACATTAAGGAACAGTCATAAACATCTTTCCTTTCTTGCAGTTAGTGGTGATCTTTGGCAGCTGTTAAACCCTTGGGATATTTACTTTTGTGGTTTTAACCTTAATGAACTCATTAACTATAGGCTTTTAAGATATTAACTTCAACTACCTGATAATTGGCTGATGTTTTAATTGCCTTTCTATAATACAGAGTTTTGGACATTTCCTGTAGCCTTACAAGATCTCCATGACTTGCTTGTTTTTTGAGCAAAGAATATATTTTTTCAACAGTGTTTCCTGTATCCAGGGCTTTTCAAATTTAACCACAACAATTGGTAAATATTTGAATATGTTTGTGGAAATTGTAGATCTGGTTATTTGGCAAAATCTCAGGGGCTTTTAAAAAAGCATTTTAGTGTTTCTCAATCTGGATGCCTGGAAGAAGTCCAAACAATAATATCCTCCCATATCATCCTGCACAGCAGCGGAAAGTCATACTGTTTCTATGACAACAAATAGCTTTTTCATCTTCCCCAGATCAGTTCTCTGAATATAGTAGCCTATATAACAGATTAGTGGGATGACAGCAAGCCTTCTGGATTTGAAGGTATACAGGTGCCTGTAAAGGTTCATATTTCTCAGGCTTTTATTATGCTAATTCTGCAGTAACAAACCTTGACTCCAGTGCAGCAGGGAGATACCTGAAAGAGCTTCAGGTTAGGTAGCTCAAGCACTGACAGCAATCTATCCAGTGCATGAATTCTATCCAGAGCTATAAGTTCACTTGCTCTGCTGAGAAGTGACCTCTGTGCATTGGTTTATCTTATTCAAATGCTTCACAGTAAGTTACAAAGAAGCTCCAATTCAGAATGAAGTTTTTCTGAAAGTTAGAAAAAAAAACAAAAATTTTTTTGTTATCTCCTAACTTGTATTGCAGTAAAACAAAAACAAAAACAAAACTTCAGACTAAGAACAAACTTTCGCATTTTACTTATGTCTTCTCCTTCCTCATTTTTGAGAATGCTTTATATAGTCTTGTTCCTCCTGAATCTCCACTGAACATTTCTTTTGCGGTCTCACTTTGTTGAGTGAATGATAAAGTTTCAAGTTGCCTTACCCTTTCAGTATCTTCTCTGCTACTTTTGATCCTCACTATTTCTCCCTCATCTTTCAAAATTCAGCATTACTGGTTATTCCTCAAGCCTGTATCAAGCATCTTCTCTGGCTGTGTCTGCCCTGAACACCAATGCTGTGGCAGTAGCCTGTGGGGAATTGCTGGCTGTTCTTTCCACTGTCTGGCAGGGAAGGTGGCAGTGCTGTTCCATGCTGATAATGTGGGCTCACTGTCCTTCAGGCACCTCCTCTATCTACCTCTTGGAGCTGCCAGAATTAATGGTAGCTATTTGAGGACTCTTTCTAGATGATGGGTCCCTTGCAACAGCTAAGAGAGCAGACAGGCAGTTTGCAGCCTGTCTTTTCTGTAGATGGTGGTATCTACAGCAGTTGGCAGACATGGCTGCACTTACCTTCCTTTTTCACTCCCCATTCTGAACAAACACATTTCTTATCTGCCTGTTGTTACAGCTTTGGGAAAATGTTTCTTCACAGCCTAACAGGATCAAAATACTGATTGCTGGCAGCAAGAGAGAATCTTTTGTTTTGCATTGCCTATTTTAAGTTTCAAAGAGAATGGGTTGTATCAAAGATAACGCTAAGTAGGCTGGTGTTAGCATTGTGTGCTGTGGACACTTAACTGTGTTTTACAAAGAGACCTGTTTTTTCACCTGTTTTTTTCTTCAGTACTTGATGTACGGTATTTATTGAAGCCCTTCCAAATTATAAACTAAGTCAAGGAAAAAGTTTCCTTGCACTGTTTTCTAAACAAGCACTCTCTTTTATTAAAATACTGATGAAGTTGCAGAAGACATAAATGAACCAACTGGATAATGGAGGCTTTTCATGGAGGAAGAGCAATTCCAGCACTGTGTGTTTTACTCCAGTATGTATGATATTTTCTTAAGCACAAACATGCCAACCGTACTCCACATTATGTTCTGGATTTTGCACTTGATAATGGTGGGTGTAATTAGTAAATGAACTGGAATACACAAAGCAAAATACAATAGTATTCCAGAAGTAGTGACGGTCCTCTGAGCCACAAAGTCATGCTAGCATCCTACTGAAATTCAGATCAGGTATTTAGACCTGGAAAATGAATGAAGACACAGAATGAAAAAGAAAGATGGGGATTTCAGTATTTTTAATCAAAGTCTCTCCTAGACGAATCTGGCTGTGCTTCTTTTTAAGAAAAAAAAAACAGTCTTACAGGCTCCTGAGTAAACTTATCTTCTTTATATTGAAAATTCCTTATTCTGGGAAAAGTTGAACTACCTGGAAATTAGAAGGGAGGAATGTATCACAGCATGAGAGAAACACTGTTAACCTCCAATGTTTTCCTGACAAAAGAGCTGGAGAAAAATGTGAGGTGGCAGCTTGATAATATGAAAGGCAGGTGAGGTAGGATTGTGATACAGCAGTAAGGTGTAGTGAATAAAGCACCATCCAATAGGATTGGAATTTTCTTTTTTATCTCTGCCTCTAATTTAATTTTTGGAGAAAGAGTACAAACATTCAGTTACGCATGCTGTAGATGCTAGTAGTATTTTTGCACTCTTAAAGGCTGATCCATTTGTAGCACCAGAAGTATTTATCCTGACTTTGCTGGCACTCAAATTCCACGTTGCAGACCTAACATATTTCTCTAATTGCTCTGTAAGGCCATTGAAGTGGACAACTGAAGACATTTCATAGCCTGAGTGCCCTGACTTCTGAACTATTAGATATTGTATGGGAACTACTGAATTGCAGCCTGAACCTCTGATTTATCATCTGAGGCGAGCAATGAGTCAGCCATGGGAGCACAGGTGAAGGCAATTCACCTGTGCTGCTGGAAGGGGTGAAGCCCAGCTCCACCTCTCCTAGACCCACTTAAGAGCTGACTACTGGTGGGGAAGGATCTCTTCTGGATTTCCCCTCCTCTGGAGTTTCATAACAAGCTCAGGATGTGGGTAAGCTCTCTATCTGTTCTCTTTTGGTATAATGACTGCTTAGCTAAACTCTCTGGTGTGTTTCATAATTATAACATTTGTGTATTCATTGATTATACAGATATGGAGGTAAAGGCTACGCTTTTTCTGTTTTTACAGATATAAATCTGTGATGCACACTCAATGATGCCCTACTGTAGAGATTTGACCCTGTATCAGCTTAAGTGGGAAAATGTTTTTTTTTTGTTAATAGCAACGTGTTTCGTCAACTCCTACTACTCTTCTGACTGCGAGATGAGGAGTGAGCTCAGTATCTGGTTCTATAAATGTGCCTGTTGTGTTTCAAAGTAATGATGCATTGAAGAGAAAGTTCATTTATTTATGTCATTTGTCTCTCTGTGGCTGAGGAATGAAGCACAATTACGTTTACATACAAGGGAAGAAACAAATGTTCTTTGATAGAATTAATTTTGAAAGATGCCTACTAGAAGATGCTGTGTCAGCAAAGATGTTCCAAGAGAGATGGACTGTTAGAGAAGGAATTGTCAGGGGAAATGTGGTGGAGCTCAAAGGATTGTGTGGGGTAGTAAGCATATGATACTTTTTCATTTGCCTTCTGTCCAGACTTAAAGAAAAGTAAAACAACTTTCCTGGTTGCAACCTAGAACTGTAAATCTCACGAATACAAAATATGTAGATAACACAAGTACATTTGTAATCATGGTTTGTACAAGCAGATAGCCCATTTCTGTAAGCCTCTTGAGGATACTTGCAAGTGCAGTGGTGGACTTTGACCTTGCCTATATGTTGTATCAAAAAAGGAAAGTGTAATCAGGAGGTACTGACTTCAAATGAAAGGTCTGATAATTCACTAAAACCTCTGCTTGATGTGTAGCCCTCTAAGCACAAACAGTGATGTATAAGGAATAATCTTGATTAAATCTGGTGTGTCAAATTCCTGCTAATACCATGTTTAATGGATTACAGTGGAAAATAATAAGCAAGAAAAACCACAGGAGTAACAGTGTGATTCTTTAATTATGCAAGCAGTAAAAAGGTAAGCTATTTCATCCTAATCAAAGTTATTAGCAGCTAAACAAAATGTGAATTGCTGTTTTGTTTTTTAATATGAAAGTAAGTCAACTTGAAAAAATTCCTCCCAGTGATAGGTGCATGACATGGAAACATTTGTTGAACCAGTGCTTATGGAAATAGGGCAAACACTGATAGCTACCCAGCAGCACCTTCTTGAGACTTGCCTATGGCATCTTGTTATAGTTTCTCTACCACAAATAGAGCTAGTAATTAACAGCATGAGGCAGCCACCTGCTTCACCACCCACTGTCACTTTTGACATACTCTTTCTTACTTTAGTAAATTAATAATGATTCAGTCAGATCTGAATTGACTGCTTAGGATTTTAGCCAGTATGTTAAAGTCACAGCTATATCTTGGGAATGTCTGTGGAATTCACAACTCTTGGGAGAGGCACAGAGAAGCCTGTAGCCTGTTCATTCTTTCTGTTGGTTCTTGAATGGTATGTGCTCCCTTGGAGCCTGCTGTGAGATATGCAGATTTAAACCAACCCTTAGTTGCAATCTAAGCCTGGTGCAGAGTCCTTGAGCATTTTCTGTATATGCCCTGAAGTATATTTACTCCTATGCTCATAAATAAATAACAAAATGCCTTTTTGAAATGTAAGGCTGCACCACAAGAACTTCTACTGAATCCCCAGCATTGCTGAAAGCGTGACTTTCCTCATCGTGAAATTTGTAGCATTTGGCTAACCATGAACCGAACCAGAAGCCCTTTTTTATAAGGAGCAGCAGCATTAGCTCCCCTCCCTTAGCTCTTTGTGGTCAGCCATTTGTCTGCTGGCAGGTTAGAACCACCGTGAACATCTTTTCTCCAAAGTACTCACCTAGGATATAAACTGTAATTTCATTATAACGGATATTTCAGTAAGCTTGTCTCATATCTCATTCCTGTCTCCAGAAACATCATTCTTATAATACAACTCCCAAGCACTGGAGGGAAAGAAAAAAAAAAAAGAGCTCCAAAATTTTTTCCATCTTGCTCTATTGTTGCTTTAGTGCGGATTTGCAAGTGAAATTTAACAATCTCCCCTGTATTTTTTGTGGTATGTGGTGTGTTGTGTGACGTGAGGACTTCCAATACTCAGAGCTCATTATGGCATAGCAGATTCTGTCATTTGGTATGAAGTTGTTCAATTGTGTCGTACAGCTGGTGATGTCTAATTCATAATGAAGTCTGCTTTCGTGTTTACATGACCCTTTTGTGATAGAACTGCATCAACAGTAAGGATACGAATGTAGCTCGTATCGAGTGGTAAAGACCTATGAAGTATGTAGATATATAGAGTGTTAATTCTCTAGAAATATAGATAAAGAATACTCAACAAAATGAAAATTTCAATGGTTGTGAAAAACTCTGCTTTCTTTTTTGACTGCTGGGTTTGATCTCTCTCTGATCAATCACATCTCTCTGATGTCACAGCATCAATCTGGGTTATTTTTGGGAGGTTGAATCATTTTAGGTTTGCATTGGCTACTTAAAGAATAAAAGTCTTGTACGTAGTTTTAGGTGCACTTATCTGTGAGATTTTGAGGGAAGTGTCCATTCTTTCTGTCTTTAAGATTGATGGGAATAGAAAGATACACGTCACAATTTCTCCATCAAGTCCTTTTAGAAGTATTATTTAGGACTGATATAAACTCAAGGGATTCTGAAAACAAGGTAAACCATAATTGATTTTTAAGCTTCTCTCTCCATGAAATTGTATCTTGTAAAAAAATAAATCAGTTATGCTTATACAACAGAATAGCAAATGTTTCTGCAAAGAGGAAAAAGAGATGAAGAGAAATGAACCAGAGCTGCTGTTCTCTTCCATGCTGCCAACCCTTGCTTTTCATAAGTGGCATCAATAAAGAGGCAAATAGCAGGAGGAATGCCAGTTTGTAAGGGCATCTCTTTAAATCTAGTTCATTGTGTTAGACCAAAGGAACAGTCTATTGGAATGGATCCTCAATCTCTTGAAAAGTTTGTGAACTTCTGATAATATGCCAATGATCTCACCTGGTACTGGGGGAGAGACACTCATGAATTTTGTGGAATTTTGTTGTCCATATTCTTGTTGGGATTTTCTCACTAGCACATGTTTTTCTTACAACTTTCATTCAGTAACTGTGTTGTGTTATTATGGAGACTAAGGGACAAACTTATTTTTTTTATCCATGGCCCCTGAACGTTTTTTTTTGTTTGTTTGCTTGTTTTTAACTTAACCTTAAGTGTCATTTAACTTTGATTCTTTTTTTTTTATTAAAAATGTTTTACTATTTCTATTTCATTAATTAACTTTATTAGAAAATCATATATGAATTAGATCATAATTGATCTTGAATTAAAAGCTCTTGCTGATGAAATGTTCTAAAACTGACCAGCTGTGAAATTAGCTGCACACTGTGTCATTTCCCAAACACTGTCAAGTAAGTTGTTACTGAGTTAATTGCTCCAGACTTAATTGCTCAGACTTAAAATGCTGAGTAGTATTAATGCTTGTATAGGTTAGGCTGTTCCTTCCTAATGTTTACTAGGTTTGTCTGTTGTGGAAAGGAAAAATTAGAAAATAGGAAGAAAATTAATTTTAAGAGGTATTTGAAAGTCCATATTATATTGCACTCAAATCCTACTTAATAAGGGATTAAAGACATGTTTGTTGTGCTAAAAGAGAGTTGGACAAGATTTGGAAAATATTCTATTCTTTCTTTACTGAACCCTGCTGTTGAACTAATTCAGAAACTGCAATCACTGAGTTAAGTAATTGCAGTTTCTCTGAATTAATCCAACAGCAGGCCTCAGAAAATGTGCAGCACTCTTAGAAAGAAGGTGACCTTTAGTTTCTGGTTCTGCTGAAGTATCTTAGGCTGCTGTTACAAACGTGCTTTGCTAGGAAAAGGGCAGAAATTACTTTTTTTTTTGTAATTTTAAACTAGTTGAAAATAAGCTACTGACAGTGAACCTCAACAAAGGCAAGGAAAAACGCAGTAATGGAGGAATTGTTAGGATGGAAGATATATAAACTATCTGAGTCATTTAACATACATGAGAGGAGTGTTTCTTAGAGGCATCTGCCAGTTAGAATTTCCTTTGAGTTCCATTAGCTTTCATGTTTTTGTGAAGCACTGCTTTTGCAGATTGAGGAACGGATTGATTCTCCTTGGGTTGGAAAGATGTTTTCTTTTTTCCCAAACTATACTCAAGCACAATCTTAGATGTATTCTGAGTATCTTCTAGATAAGAAAATAATTTGTTTTCCTTCCTCCAAGAGATGTTTGAAGTCTTGTTATTTAGTTAGGTTGCAGAAGTGGAGCAACCTTTCCCACTTGTCAGTGAAGTAGCAGCTGGACTCTATTTTGTTCTAACTCCCTGACCTCTCATTCTCCTATAGCAGCTGCAGTGCAGATTGCCTCCAGCTGATAAGTTGTTTGTCCTCCTTGTTTTTACCCTCACTCCATTCACCTAAGGTATGAAAAATCTGAAATATCTTTTTCCACAGTTTAGCTGAATGACGTTCATAGTTCTCTATCTTGTAAGATTTTTTTTTTTTGTGGGGTAGATTTTATAAGAATTTGTATGGATGCTTCTACTAGCATAGTAAGATGCATTTTTCTCTGTACCTTGCAGCGTGAGGAAAAGATTTAAGCCATAAGAAAGCTTAAAAAATCCTAAATACAGAGCTACTAAACTATCATGTAGGAAAGACTTAGGCATACTAAAGTGTGTAAATTTTGTAAAATTTTCAGAAAAGATTAATTTTCTATTTTCCTTTAATCAAAATGAAATTAAAGATATCTTGATGAATAGGGACACTAATATAAAATTAAAATTTATTTCTAATTGTCTTCAGTTCTTCACAGTGAATGATATGTCTTGAAACATGAGCTTCACAAAGCATTATTCCACTGCTTTTTTCAGAAGAGTTGTGCCAGGTGTCCTACAGT